CTACAGCTGTAATTTACTTATAAATGTCTACCTCCACCCAAAATCTGTTTGGATCTAGTACAATACACACTGTGAAAAAAGGAGGTCAAGATACCAGCATTACAATTACCTTTGGTACAGAACTGGTATGTAATTCTGCAGCAGGGACAGTGAACTTTGAAGACATTGGTGGAAGAGAGGCAATTCCTGCAACAAGAATATACAAGATTACTGTTATTTGGTGTCCACCATGGCATGAACCACAAGCCATTCAGGAATACAGCTAAGTATGCTTTAATATTGTGAGTCAAATTCCAGCTAACTTGTTGGGCTAACATGGCAAGGTTTCTGTAGCAGAGGGGAGCTTGTCTGTGAGAAGACATCAGGATCTGCCCCCTATGTTCAACTGAGCCAGTTCCAGCTGGCTCCAAGGTGGTCCTGCTGCTGGCCAAAGATGAGCCCATCAGTGACACTGGTGGCACCTCTGTGATAACATATTTAAGAAAGGGTATAAAATGCTGCACAACAGGAACTGGGAAAGAAGAGTGAGAAAATGTGAGAGAAACAGTCCTGCAGACACCAAGGTCAGTGAAGAAGGGAGGTGAGGACATGCTCCAAGCGCCAGAGCAGAAATTCCCCCACGTCCTGTGGAGAAGACCATGGTGATTCAGGTTGTTGCCCTGCAGCCCATGGAGGACCACAGTGGAGCAGATATCCACCCTGCAGCCCATGGAGGACCCCACACCACAGCAGGTGGACGTGCCCTGAGGGAAGAAGCTGCAGCCTGTGGAGAGCCCACACTGGAACAGGGTTCTGGCAGGAGCTCTGGCCTCACAGAGAGGAGCCCATGCAGGAGCAGTTTTTCTGGCAGAGACTGTGACCCCCTGGGGAACCCACATTGGAGCACTCTGTTCCTGAAGGACTGTACCATGGAAGGGACCCACGCTGGAGCAGTTCTTGAAGAACTGCAGCCTGGAGGAAGGACCCACATTGGAAAAGTTTGTGAAGGACTGCATTCTGTGGGAAGAACCCACTCTGGAGCAGGGGGAGAGTGTGAGGAGGAACAAGCAGCAGAGACGATGTGCTATGGACTGACTACAGCCCCCATTCCCTGTCCCCCTGCGCTGCTTGTGGGGAGGAGGTAGGTGAGCTAGGAGGGAAGTTGAGCCTTGGAAGACGTGGGGGTAGTGGAGGTGGTTTTAGTTGTCTTTTTTTTTTCTCACTATCCTACTCTGTTATTAATTGGCAATAAATTAAATTAATCTTCCCCAAGTGGAGTCTGCTTTGTCTGTGACAGTAATTGCTGAGTAATCTCCCCCTCCTTATCTTGACTCACAAGCTTTTCCATCTTATTTTCTTCCCCTGCCCTGTTGAGAAGAGGGAGTGATAGAGCAACTTGGTGAGCACTTGGTGGCCAGCCAAGGTCAACCCAGCACACTAATGAATATGAAAGCAGCCCATCTAGGACCCAGTAGAATCAATTTGTCCAGGTTTACTTAGTTTTCCTTTTATTTTTATAAGTACTACATTTTACAATACTACCTGCTCTTATTTCTTCACAATTTATTTGTTAGAAAGAAAAGGATGTATGCCTGGATTATAGACTGTGCACAATAATTTTATGTCATTAAGTGTTTGATTAAATGTTTTAATAATAATGTGGTTATAAATGCAAGTGGTGGGTAATGATTTGGTGGAGATTTACATTTGCTTGTGAAGAGTCTTTGTGCTTAAGGACTAGAATTTATAATGCCTTAGTCATTTATCAGTAAAATCATAGTTCACTAACTGCCTTTTTTTCTTTCCTTCTTTCTTTTTTTTTTGTTCTTTGGTGATGGTGGTGGATTTTTTTGTTTTTACAGATGAACTGCAAAATATTGCCTATACTGACTATTGTATGGGAATCCAGTACTTCCACCTCTGACCTCAGCAGATACTTGGAAGAACAAAGGCATTTAAAAAAAAACAGACCCAGAACTAAAACTAAATTCAACTGCAAAGAACTTTGATGTTTTTACGATACTTTTGGAAGATCATACTCTAGAAAATCCAAAATGTTCTGAAGAGGTTCAGGCCAAACACAAGTCCTTCTCAAATTATTGTGAAATCTTGTAACGTAATTGCTTGACACATTGTCCAAAATGCCTATGTTGAGAAGCAATTTGGCAATATGTGATTCACCAGCTTAGACTCACTTGGGATTTGTTTTGTGTTCCACGGCTCCTCTGGAATGTATCCCTGATTTTCACTACCATGCCTTTGCCTGTTTTCCAAATTGCCATCTTTTTTCTTCTCAGCTGAAACTTTTCTAGAAACAGAAAGGCTTGTCATTAGTACTTCGTTATGGTATGAGAACTCCTGGGGAGTGGGCTATGGAGAAAAAAAAAATATCTTATTTCTGAAAAAATAGGTGCAAAACATATCTGGGCCTTCCAAGTAATTAGTTAGTACAAATCTTGTCCCATATTTCACAGTATTACCTGCGAAATTCTGTTTAGAAAGTTCCTGTCAGCTGCATTATCAGAAAGCAGGAAAATACAATGAACAACCTTCAATGAGTGAAGATACTGTTCCAGATCGTAGCTTTTGTAGGAAATTAATTTAGATCTCTAATTCTGAGTTACAGGATATTCAGTGGCCCAATAATGGAACACTTGTGTAAACTGATCATTTTTGTGATTTGAGCCCCCCCAATTGCAAAAACAACGCATGTTATCTCACACCACCACAGTTAGCTCCCAAGTGATTCATCTGAACACTCCCAAGTTTTAAATTTACTTTACAAGCAAGCATAGCCACAGTGAAGTTGACAAAACTTCCTTGGTTAAAGTTACACATACCTGAATTTGCAGAATAGTGACCTGCATAGCTGCAGTGTCAAGGGTGTGTCTTTTTACTCAAAACTCTTATGCTAGAAGAGGTGCTACTGCTCATCTCTTCCTACCATGGACTCCTCTCCAGGATAGTCCCAGGTCCATCTTTGCCTAGGTTTCTGGTGTGGCAAGTACAAATTGATGACAGGATTATGACAAGCAGGGATTTCTAGGGGAAGGGGGAAATATTCCTGGCTGACAATATTTGTGGAAATTGCTGCATTTACTTTTTTTATGTTTAGTAGAAATTATTTTGCAGGCCCATAGAGCTTCAGATGAGCACTACTGATGCACACATAAGTCTGGCGAGCCAGCTATGACTACATGGCTTTTTTAGGAGATAAACATGTTAGATACCACTAAAAAACCTGTCATGGTTTTTAGAAGACAAGAGCAATTGTTTAGGAACACCACCTCCACATGTTACATGATATTGCACTGTCTATTTTATCTGGTCTTTAGATCTCAACAAACTCAGTGTAGTAGCCAAATCGAAAGCAGCTACAAAAAAGTGTGGGAGGTACAGAAAGATAGCCAGCCAAGTTAAAAATAAATGTGGAAAGTAAAATAATATATCTCTGGTCTCACCACTTCTTCACTACTACTACAACACAGCTTCCAAAATCTGGACAATCATCATTCTTTTTTACTGCAGGTAGATTCCCCCCAAGAAAAAAAGAACACTGAACTGACAAAATCTGTAAGTGATTGTAAAGAATTCCTGTGATTTCAGTGTCATTGTTTGCAGAAGCTAAAACTCTGAAGAACTGTCAACACTGAGTTTTTAAGTTCAAGCTGAGCTGTAGAGCCTGGACTCTTCCCAGTGGTTAAGTATTTGCTTAAGCGTTTGCTTAACTTTCAAGGTGTAAGCAACGTTTATGAAGTCAGTACAACTCATGTTTGAAGTTAATGGGAAAATAGGAACTTTGCTGTACTGAGATCTAAAAACACACATTCTGTCATGAAGACAGAATTGTACTTGCTCAGACCAGTTTCAAAGACATAGCAGGAAAGTAATACTATGCCCTATTCTGGACCTGTTCAGGTTGTCTGAAAGAAAGCACGTGTGCAGACCCGCATCAGCGAGGCAGGGTGCAGGGACGGGCACAGACCTGGCCGTACCAGTCCCCACTGCTGGGCAGATGCTTCCCTGCATGCTCAGCTGACTTTGCCTTAGCAGGGTTGACCCTTGCAGAAGTCTTTTGGCAGAACCAAGTCAGAATCCAAGCAAAAAGGCCTTGTAGAACTTTATTCATAGTAAAACCGATATGCAAGTTGTACCTGCTTTTGGCCTCCCATTCCCTGCTAATTTAGTCCTGCCCTGTTTATATAGCTGCACTCAGTAAAATGATCAATTTAGCATCACAAACTAAGAAATCACGTGGAAGTTTACTGGTGTGGCATGGCATTATTAGCATCATTTTCTCAGGAGAAAGCGTTGTTTGCCTAATTTCCTTATTTTGCTTTGCATCAATAAAGTGGTCTATAAGTGGAAATTTGTAAACAGACCTTCAAAAATTTCCCCACAAGAGGTAATTAATGAAGCTAGGTGTTACTGAAGTGCGAGGCAATGTGGTGTAACATTTTGTAAACTCATTAAGAGATGGGGAGTTGAAAGCCCCGCAAGCACAGGCAGAGTATGAATTTACAATGCTCCTTTGACGCTTAGAAAAAATAACTCCGGATAACCCCACTGATGTTGCTGTCAGAGCCACTCTGATGCCGATAAATAGGGTCTTAGTGCCGATAACCATCAGCTCATGATTTCTAAGCTTTTCCAACTCTGTGGAATAATGTAGCGACAGCTTTGTACTCAAGAGCGCCTGATAATCACTTGATTAAGTGTTGACACTCTTCATCGGGGCAGCTTTATTTATTTAGTTAGTTTTTATCAGCCTGACGCTAATGAACCTTAAAGGAGACGGGGAGGCGGTCTAATGTGCTTGCCAATCTATCCCAATTAGCTTGCGGCACGGCTTCCCGCCGGCAGGTTCGGGGTCCCCCTTTCCCCCCGCCTCTTTCCGCGGCGGCAGCCCCGGCGGAGCTGCCGGGCTCGCAGTGACCTCCTGTGGCGACGCGGGCGATCGCCCCGCACGGTGCAGGCGGAGCCCACCCCCTCCCCAGACCCCCCCACACCCCCTCCCCGGGCACCTGGCGGGGTATAGCCAGCTTTGAAGGATTTGCTTTGCCCAGCAGCTTCGGCAGGAGGGGCTTTTCAGTCTGTGATTTGGGTGCTTGCCGAGTCAGAGAGGTAAGCGGTTGCGGGGGTTTGGTTCTTTTCTCCCGGTTTATTGTGGGAGCGGCGTTCGCAACCTGCTGCGAGCTGGGGGGGGCTCGCTTTTCGCCGCTAAGGTCAGTCCCCTTCCCTGCTTACTGCTCCCCCCTCTCCTTCCCCCGCTGTGCCCACCGAAATGGGTAAGGTCGCGCAGCAGGGCAGCACCCGAGTGTCCTGCGGCGGTGGGACACGGGAAGGGGCACGTCCCTCTCACCATCCTGCCGCAGCCTGAAGGGGTTCGGTTACAAGGAAACAGTCTCCCACCTCAGTCAGCTCACCTTATTTCATTTTGATATGTAGATCCTGAGAAAGAAGGAAAAAAAAAAAATGTAATGTGTTTAAAGTGCAGAAAACTAAAATGTGACCTACCCTAGAGCTCCTCTTACAGCATGAACTGTGTTCCAGCTACCACAGGAGCAGCTCTCCTCCCTGTTTACAAAACTGTGCAACATCCCTGCAGGACAGCTTACACAGCAGTTGGAAATGAGGCAGGCAGCACTGAAGGTATGCTTCAACAAAGAACTTCAGCATAGGAACTAAAAGCCAGTGAAAGTTAATGTACTGAAAAACACAGCCCCCTTGCAGTTGATGCGAATGGCTGACACTGATTACTTCAGAACCAATTTATAAGAGAAACAGCAAGGTGAAAGTACGGAGCATCTTAACCAGGTCATGGTTAAGAGCCAGATCTCTCTGCTCACACTTCTGCTTGCAGGTCTTTGCACAGCACCAGAGCTGACACAAGTAGGAGATTTATACCTAACTGAAGATACTTTTCAAGGTAGAGACCAATCGTGGAGGTCCACTTACCTTTCTTCTTTAGGCAGCAGCAACGTACAACAACCGCAACAATAATGATCAGAAGAATAAGACCAACAAATGAAAGCACAACTGCAAGTACAATAACCCACGTGCTTCTGTTGTCTTCACTGTAATCATTTTCTGTTAAATTAAATGGAGAAGCATTGTACTATCAGAGTTTCAAAACATAATTTTCAGAAGATTTACATTTTCTGTGAAAAGCTATTAACTGCTTGTTGATTATTTAAAAAGGAGTCTGTGTTTTCCAAGTGGTGGACTCTGTATTTATAGATACCGCCCAAGAATTTAAAATGTTTCCAAATGCAACTTCTTTATTGCAATTGTAACTTTTACCACTGTTACTTCTCTTCTGAAAACCACAGAGTTGCAATCTTCCAACCTAAACTTTATTTTGTAGGTATGATGGGCCTCCCAGCATCCTTTGGAGACATTTGGGGTTGGGAAGAATGGTTAAGATTCAATTTAGATATCTATGCCAGATATATTAAGCGTCTTGCCTAGCTGCTCTTGTCAGTGGAGAGAAAATAGGTATTTTGGGTTACAATTCATTTGGCTAGGTGTGCATGTGTCCCTTTGGATAAGATGAACAGCTCTGAAGAATTGTCCATTTCTCCCCACAGACCACAGCAATAGTCTTAGGTGACTAGTACAGGTGGAGATCTCTAGCCTGTAGATATGATTTTCTGATGAATTCCATCTCGGAATTTCTCCCACTGATTTCAGCAGGTGTTTGATTTGGGGACATACTCATCAGAGCATTTGTTATCCACTTAAAGAGCCACAAAGAGCAGAACCTGTAGAGCGTAGCACCATTTGGGAATACGTAGCTACTAATTCATCTTCTCTACCAGCATTCTCGCAGCATTAACTTAATAATTTTTCTTCGCTGTAATCTACAGAGTTAAATGAGGTGATTTAAGGATAATTCATATCTTGCTGAAATTGGTTGCTATGACCAAATGGTTTTCGTACAGAGCTCCCACATGCAGAGAATTTAAAAAATACCTTGTATTTCTCATGTGGCTGGATGCACAAGGAAGATGTCGGTTCTGATTGTCACATCATCCTGCCCTTTGCTTTTGACCAAATATTTCAGAAGCACTTCTAATTTGACTGCCCTTTGAAAAGCAGCCCCAAAATAATTTTGCCAGTTGTTTAGAAACAAGCTTGCAATCCAAATTACAGGCGTGAGACACATCTGGACTTGACAAAAGCCATTTTGTCATGCTGAGTTTATGATTGCCATTTCCTCATCAGAGATCCCAATTAACAACTGCACGTCCACATTTAGCTGACCACCTCTGGAAAAGGTACAGCAGCAACGTCAGTGACCGGCAGCTGCGCAGCGTCAGGGCTATGCCCCTGATGTGTGAACCAGAGTGTCTGCTGGTTTACCTGTGGCAGGGAATAATGCGAATCCCTTCTGTCCACAAATTTGCCTGGGCATATGTTTGGGGTTTGGAAGTTTTGGACTGCAAAGTTACAGGACCAGAGCCTCCCGCAAAGTTTGAACCTCTGTTAGGAGTCTGCCTTCTCCAAAGCTCAGGCCATTATGATTAAGCAATTTATTCTAGTCTTCTCTAATCTTACTGCTCAATCAGCTTGTTTTGTATTGCTTCTTGCTATTAGAGAGAACAAGCACTCAGTAACCTGCAAACTAGTAGTTAATTCTGTAGGCTGTAAGCAGTTGTGATTACAATTGATGTTAAACTTGTTCATAATATTTTAATCTAGAAGTACTACGTTATCTAGAAGTATATTCTATCATATTTTGTTCCATAAAGTGTGCCATGGGGATTTCAAAATGCCTAAAATATGAAAGACAGTTATTTAGCTATAGGGAAAAGCTTAACCTTATTGTGAAGGGAGGAGCTAAACACAGCTGCACAGGCCCATACCTCCAGGCTGGCTGCTGCACCAAGGTATCTCACTCCCTGTCAGGTTGAGGCTACCTGCCAAAAGAGTATCTACAGTGCTGAAGTGAGAAGGACAAGATACAACACAAACACTCCCAGCACTTCAACGCTGTAATTTCTCCCCAGTTTTGGAGGTTACAGAAAAAAGCTGAAGCTGGGACCAGAAGATATGAATGCAGGAGGTGCCAGCTCAACACACAAGTAGGGGTGCAAGAGAGGGGTAGTAAGGCATGAGGGCATTAAAGTCCTTTTAGCTCCATTAGTAAATCCACACCAAGTTACATGAGGTGCTTAGCATGGACAAAGCCAATTCCTCATTCTATAGGGCCCCTCCTCTGCTGCTATCTGGACCTCTGGCTCCTCACAAAGCTGACCAAAAATTTACTTGGGCTAAGTATCTGCAGAAAATTGAAATTTTCCCTGACACATACTGTTGATCAGGGAGAAATGAGAGATTGGAAAAAGCGGCACATTGCTTCTTGGATACTTTGGAGCTTTCTAGCTAACTTAAAAAGCAAAGGAAGATCAGGCTCATGGCAGATTCCCTATCTTCATCTTCTGCAGGTGAAGGTCCACATGAAGTCAACACTGAAGCCAAAGAGAGCTTGGACCCAGCTAAAGGACTCTGCCATGGACCCCATTTCCCAATAACAGCACTGTGAGTGCATCTCCTGGGGTAATTCTATAAGAGTTTCCAAATTTGGGCCTCAGCCAAACACCACCGTGAGTGAAGTAAGGAGGAGGAGTGACTGACATAAAAATGCATCACCTTGTATGGAAAGGTCTGGGGTCAAGACCAATCTAGAGGTGCACAAAGGTAGGACGTTCGTTGACCAGGAGATGGCTGGCTGAAGAGGGATCAGATTTTTGGTTGCAGTTCTTGTGAATGGACAGATATTGCTTGTGAGGAACATGAAGGAATTCGATTTTTCAAGCTTTTAAGTGTAGGCTGAAATTGATATTACCATAGATTTGGGAAGGGCTCCTTAGGTGTTTGGAGCTAGACCTATTCTTTCCTGACAACAGCTAGCTAAGGTTGAGTGTATATATTAAAAGTCAGACAAGCTCTGAGGTTTCAAGTGTGATATATACATTATATATCTTCCTCTGTCACAATGTCATGCCTTTACTTCATTCTAATAATTTAAAGACCTCATATTCTCATATGCTGACAAATTTTGAGTGGCTGCTGCTGCACAACGATTTCTCCAAAGAGAAATGAATGATGGTCCTATACAATCACTAATTATACACTAATAGTTCTTCATGACATCTGTTTTTCTCCTCTTCTGATTTACAATGAGTAGCTATGGAAACTGAGGGTGCATACCTCAGTACTTCACAAATGAGTAGGCAAGGGAATTTATTAATTTCCTTGGAATAGTTCTGTTTTGCTTAGTCAGTAATTAGGATCAATGTGACTACAAAAAAGTCAGTTAAGAATGGTGAAATGACCTTTTTCAACTGCATTACAAAGCATGTACTTCTGAAAAAGGCCTGCTAATAATGACTCATAATTAAAATAAAAGGCACAGTTACTCAACCTCTCAGTTGTTTATATGTCGAAACTTCTAAACCAAACCCCTCATCAATCCACTGTAAGAATGTCTTTGTATGTGCCATGTTCACCCATTACAGAAGAAGAATCAGTTCATCAAGAGAAGCTGTCAGCATGATTATTGAAGTTCACGATGCTCACCACATTGTAGAAAGAAACGTAGATTTGAGGGCCTACTCTGTACAGAAGACAACTGGAGATGCAAAGACCCATTGCAAAAAAAAAATCCATATAATCTATGCATTTCCTGTACCACAGGATAAGGCTAAAAAAAGCCTTATAATAAAAGTCACTGTAGGGTGGACTGTGTCACCATAGGAGACAGTCTACTTATACCCAGTAACTTCAGCTCCCTGCCATGCAACTCATGCTTCAAGTTTAGTTTGCCTTGAGACTCCTTTACCTGACAGTTGAGACACTTGGCTAGTCCCAACAGAGAAATGCTTCTAAGGACAGTTTGGTATTGTCTCCCTCATCTGCATTAAACGCTGCTAACCTGCAGGGAGATACTTCCTCTTACTTGCTCTTACTGTGTTACGGTTTGGAAAAGAAATACATTTTCCATGGGCTTTTGTTAGACTGTGAGGCAGACCTATAGTGGTAGTCCCACTTGCTTTGTTCCACACAGACATCACAGAGCAGATAAAATCACCTTTTTCATAGGATGAACCTCCTAGTACTGTGAATGTGTTAAATTATGAAATTTTATTTTCACAGAATGTGAGTGAAACCAAAGATCAGCAGCATTACACAAAGTGCTGACAACCTTCGTGAAAATATTTAAGGTTATCAAAAGTCTTGCTAACTGTTCTTGAGAGAATTGCCCAACTTCCATGCTTGGATTAAAGTGACCTGGAATTTCATTAAATAAATGCAATAAAAAGCAACCAAATGCACCATCCAAAGAATTACATATGTTGCTGCAGGACATTTTTGACCTTCCTCTATGATGTGACAGAGACCATGCCAGAAAGAGAAAGCAGGCCCAGTAGCAATTTGATCCAAGAATACTTTGAGGTAAGGTCCATGAACATGCAGCTTCTCTTGATGACCCGATTTTTGTTCTGTGATGGGTGAATACACCACGTACAAAGATGGTCTTATAGCAGATTGGTGATAGGCATACAGTGTAGAAATTCCTACATGTAAATGCTGCCATCTGCAATTAGGTGCCAGCCTCACTGCAGCCCTGGGGCCACTACCACCACACTACAACAGCTCTATCACATCTGATCATTCCTCATTTGGAGAACTTTCTATATGCACCTGAAATGCTAGTCCAGAATTGATTCTGGGTTGTGTGCAGAAACTGGGAGTAAAATCTAGGGGTTTTTTTCCAAGTCAGTGATAAAACAGGTGTTGAATATTACAGAGAACAATTTCACCTGAGGGTTGTTTGGCTTTGAGTAAATGAGGTCTAACAAATTATGTTAATATGGCAAGCATGGCTTAATCAAGGATATTTGAGATCTAAATTCATTAGATGTTTACTTGGTCAAGGAGCAAGGGCCGGTTTTGTTAATAGTGGATCCATAGCAGGAGTCAGTGACAGATGTACTGCTTTGTTTGTCTTGCTCAGTCCTAAATTGGACTTTGTGGTTCATTAGACTTGTACCAGTCCTCTCACAGATGTGAATTTAACTCTTACCTACGTATCAGGTTGTGATTACTCAGTCTTAATTCTATCACCTTTGCACATCTCATATTATTTCATTTGCAAACAAAAGACTTTTCAAAATAAACCAAAACAAAACAAAAAGCACACTTCTGAGTATAAGCAGTATGGTACAAGCACTACAGTACAGGCAAAGTACAACAAACATTCACTTACCTATATTAGAGCTGACAAAAATAACAGTTACAGTTGCGTTCTGGGGTTTAGGGAGTGCTTCTATGTCAGCTAAACAAGTCAAAATCTCAGTGTCCGTCGGAGTCAGAGTTAGGATGCTCAGGGCATTGTGGAGGCCATTAGATCCTTGACTTTGCTGGGTAACATACCTCGACTTATCAATGAGGGAGTCATTTGTCATCCATGTAATGCCTGGAGCTGGAGCCCATCCTAAGGCTTCACAAACAATTTCAACTGTTTTGTTCTCTTTTACTGTTAAGGTGCTATTTTTGATGAATAAAGATCCATTAACTGTAGGAGGGAAAAGATGTTTTGTTCCTTCAGAATATTTGGCTGCATTGCTTTCCTGCTGATAGTTTTAATTCTTATCTTGCTACCCAGAAATAGCTATGCCTTGAGATACTAAGTAAAAACAATCATTAACAATCATGTGCATGATATAAACATGCAGATGTTGCAACTTCATGGACACACTGTCCAGAATGTCTAAAGCACAAGTCTCAGCTTTCAGTACCTTTCCAATAAAAACCAGGAAATTATACTTTTTAGCCATCCTGATATATTTCCAGCTGAAGGGCAATATAATGAAATAATATTGTTTCTCTCTAAGTTTTAAGTATGATCGGGTTTTATTGGGAAAGGTTTACGGCTAGATGACGAGATGTTCTCATTTCATGAAGCACTTCTTTGACAAATGGATATTGTCTAGTGGTTAGATCTTGCTTTACTGGCTGCACTCTGTCACTACTGATGCTTCAGAGAGGAGGAAGAGGTCTCATATACAGGGGCTTGACATGTAGGAACTTGTTCCTTGGAAATGGTAGCTTGCAGCAGCAATCACATGAAGAGTATCACCTTGTGTCTCAAGGGCTTTACTTCTACACGCCATTAAATCAAACTGAAATAAGCTGGATACAGGCTGATTCCCGAGTCAGAAAGCAGGAGGGAAATCTGCCCTGAAGACAGCAGAAGGTTCAAGTACAAAGATGTGTGTAGGGGTAATCCATACTGTTTCTAGACAAAAGATAATTTTTGACTGACTGCTGGTGTGCCTGTTACAGCCTTCAGGCACTGTAATGCAATCCAATAAAGAATAAGAGATGTAACAGGAAAAAACAAGGGCGGTTATAACGTTTGCTAATGGTACTCTGAATGTGACTTTGAGACCTGCTTTGGCAGTAAAATTAAGACAAGGAGGACAGGAGGCAAAGGATGGTAAATGAGAGCATGTACTCCTTCACAGGGATAATTTGAGCAATTTATCAGAGGATTCCTTTAAGTGCAGTATAATAAAATAGCTTTCTATTGATGGCTATACGCACCTTGAACAGAAAGAAATGCAAAGCTGGTCTCACTAGGTTGCTGGGTGCTGCATTCAATTTTTCCAGAGTCGCTCAGCTGGGTGTTGTGGATGATCAGCTCCGAGGTAAACCCAGTGCTACTGGTATAATTTTGGGAGGTGAAGCGGTCTGATGTTTCAACTGGTCCTTGAGAACTGATGACAGTGAGGACAGGATTTCCATTGGACAGCCAAATGAGAATTATCCATCCTAACGACACAGTGCAATTAAACCGGACTTCTGAACCAGCAAGCACCGTTGCGTTAGTAGGGCCATTTAGAATTGAGTAACAAAAGCCAAGACCTGAAAGGAAGGAAGGAAGAAAGGAAAAAAAACAGCCTGTAAATACATACACACTGCCACCACCAAAAGCCTTTGACTTAATTTTTACTGCCAGCAATTTAAGGCTAAAATTCCAGGCACCCTGGTTCAAATAGTATTGTTCACTAGGAGCACTGGGGTATTAAGCACTTAGTCGTGTATCAGGAAAGGCTGTTGATTCAGCTGAGCTGGCATTTCATCTTTGACAGTCATCAGTACCTGATACTTTCAGGAAAAGATTCTTGTCTCATTTTCTATAACACCTGTCAGTAAGTAGCTAAAGATAGGTATGGTGAATTGAAATTGCAACTGTATAATGTTAATCCCACAGCAGTAAGCACTGGTCAAATGCTACGTTGCTACAAGCCAGTCATTACAAACCCAAGAAGTACATGTTTATATAGTTTAAAAGATCTTAACCAGTTCAAAGATGGAGGTGTATAATCTAATCTTTCATTTCCAGTTTAGATTAAATGCTTTTCTTTAAAGATACATTTGATTTCTTGTCTCTCCTCCTCCCACTCCAAAAGCACCTATCTTTCTTCAGTGATTCACTAAAAAGCTGACTTACCATTTTGCTAAAAGAAAAAAAATCCACTTTTAAATAGCAAAATACATGAGTTCTCTAGACTTTAAATAAAGGAGTATGTAACTGGTCCCTTTTCCATACCTCAGATTGCCACTGATTTTTTGCAGCCCCAGTATATATCCTTCTGTGTTCTTTCCTCTATTCATCTGCCTCTTCCCTTATTTCTCATGTATGTATCACATACATACTTACACACCTTCTCAGGCTTTCAGTTAACCAGAGCTGCTGTAATTCATGAGGTTTTCTTCTTTAAAATATAGTATGAATTCTGTCTATTATTTTCCAGAACTGAAAGCTCCTTTCTAATGAAGGCATTTTGTTTTCCTTTCCTCCTCAACAGGCCCAGGGCCTTTCATTGCCCTCAGAGGAATGAAGGTGCAGCTGTTGCCCAGGCAGATGGTGGATCCCCTGCACGTGGGAAGGCAGAAGCACTAGCTTTGACCAAGCAGAAAGTGAAGGAGGCATGAAGGCAGACACCCTCTTTTTCAAAGCAGCAGCTGTGACCTCAGTCCTTGAAGTAGCCAGGGGAAACTGTGCCATTTTGAAGGCAGGCAAATCTCAAAGCATTACTCAGAGAGAGGCCACTGTATAGCCCAGTCTTTATGAATGACAAACCTTCACACTGTAAGAACATCCCAGATTATTTGGTTGGTGTTATAGAGAAGAGGACTTCAGAGGGCAGCTCACCAATGACTTTCCTGTATTGAGGAGCCCAAAATGATATGTTTTCATAAGCCAGTCACTTTACTAAGTCACTGCCACCCACAGCCCTGCTGGCTGCAGGCGGAGTGGAAAAGGAGGGAGAGGACTGCCATTGCAGGCCCTGCTGCCACCGAGGTTTATCTCAGGGGACTTGCCCATGCCCTGCATGCATCCCACCGGGCACAGCTCTTCCTCACCCCCCACAGCTGCCAACAGCTCTTCACCTGCCTCTCTAAGCTCAGGTCTGCTCCCTTTTGCCCTAGTGCTTACCTGCACCTCAGTGTGACAGAGCTGCTCTTTGATGGAGGCATTGAAAGGTTTCGGTGGCAAGGGACCTCAAGAAATCCCTAGCCCAACCCTCTCCTCCAAGCAGAGCTAATTTCACCGTTAGGTCACTTGCACAGGGGCCTTGTCAAGTCAGATTTTGAGTATCTCCAAGGAGGGAGGTTTCACAAGCTCCCTGCAGACTAAGCAGTCCTCCTACCAGTGAGATCTACCTCAACAGTGAGTTTTTTGTCACTTATTGGGAAATTTTCATGCTGAGGAATCACCAGCACTGCCAGTGATACCTCTAACGATTGAGGCTGTAGTCTGCATAATTACAGCAATTAGATACTACAGTCCATAGCAGCCTAATTAAAACTCCATGTCTGCAAATTTGGCCTGAGAATAAGTGTTCAATTATTTTCCAGGAGAAAGAAAACCTGAAATGGTCATTACTCAATTGCTAAGGGTATTCAGGACAATGATGTGATTTTTAAAGGTTTCAGTCAATCCAGGCTTTGTACATTTTAGGTAGTTTATTCATTAATAAATAAAAATTATTGAAATATTAATTTTTCATTCAGTCAATAGCTGATGTGAGTAAGAGAGAATATGCTGTATTGTTTCACACAAAAGAGGTGTTTGATAGTTGCATAAATGGAACCAGAACCCAATCTCAGTTACAACCTTGCAACCAGAGCCCCAGTAAATGCACCCAGGGCATAGGGTCTGTAATCGCAGTGTTCCAATGTTAATATCATTTTCTAATTCCCAGCTCACATTTAATCCTAGACAGTGTGTATCTAACCATGTTTGTGCCAAGAATTGTTCTTTAATATAAATAGCTCCTCTCTTTCCTCCCACCAGCCTCATGTATTTACAGAAAAGAGCCTTTTCATTCTTTGTTTTGAGGGATTATACTAACCTAGCTCTCCCTGGTTCTATGTATAATTGACTCTGAGTTCTCTCATGTTTACAAAAACCCTTACAAAAATTTTCCACCTTAATGGGTTATGTTACTTCTGCCATGCACCTCATTCTCCAAAGTATACCTGCGTGTGAGCAATAAAACATTAAATGAAAAGCAAACTTCACTTCCACTGATAGTGAATAAAGAGAGATAAGAAACAATACAACATATTTCTGTTTAACTTAAATGGCTCATTTTTTTCCAGTAACATTTATTCAAAGCTCTCTTCAGACTTGTAAAGGTGAACTGAAATGCTTTAAAACACGGAACAGCTTGAAGATAAACTCAGCAATCAAATCTATGTCCATACCTTAATATGTTGCTTTACAGTTAACCCAACAAAATGCCTAAAGCCATTTCCTCTCTTTTCTATTTGCCACTTTCTGAATGTTAGGGATTGGCCACATGTCTGTGGATGACAACATTTACAGAGCCACAGGTTTTCTAATTAATGTGCACTGATGAAGTGCATTCCAGTGAGAACATTTGTCACATAATATGGCCCTCTTCCCTGATTTTCAACATCCAATTGTCATGAGTTCTATTCATAACTTATATTACCAGGGTTGAGACACTATCCTAAGCTCAAATGTGTCTTTGAATTATCTATTTTTTCTTGACTTACACTGTAGAGAGCCTTTACAGTGCTACTCCTCGTACATCTATGATGTCTATGTTCATGTGATGATTTTTTTTGATTTTTACACTTTGTTTGAAGCCTTCCTGACTAGTTGAAGTGGACATAAACAGCTACCATGATGATAGCCAAAGCCATGAACAAACTTCCTTAAAGTTAACACCAAAATGCATTTAGTTGTTCATGAAACAGGAGCTGCAGTACTTGTACACACTGCTTTTCTTAATGCAAACTGATATCTGTGCATCTGTAATTTATTTCCATGCCTCTGCAAACACTTTACTTTTTTAAGGAGTCGTGGTTTGCCGTGGCTCTGAATAAATGATGCCACTTGCAGTACACTGCTAGCTGTTAATTAATCATTTGCTATGAGATCACGTCTGTGAGTACCATTATAGTCTTGAAATTTATCCCTAAACATGAATAATCAGTGATCATCATCTCTAAAAATACATAGATAATCTTGCTTTTGTTTTCTTCACAGTCAGGACAGTATAGGCAGGTAGGTATGCGTTATTCCTTCATTTAACAAATATAATAATCCATTTTTTTATCAGTCCATAGGTATGGCAGGTTCTACATCTTCTTCCACCAACCATATCTACTGGATCAATAGATGGTCTTTCACTGATTTCTGTGAGCTAGAGAACAGGTCGATAAGCCCTGTATGGGGATCCTATGGGTGGTGGGAGGACTGAGGAGTGGGACATAGCTCAGCCATGCCTCCATTTAGATACGAGTAAAGTCCCAGTACAACCAAAAAAAGAGCTTCATGAGCCTTCTCCACCTGCTGCCAAAGCATTTTTGGTGGCTTTAACTTTGCCTCTTTATCTTTTTGGGTTTATTTTTTATCCTGCAGTAACATGCCAAGTCCTGAACCAACAGTGCATTCTATTGTCCAACCCATGTATAAACACTGATAAAGTAACTTGTGTAAGGTCAAAGAGGACATTCATGACAGAAATGGGTTCTAAACCCAGTTACCGGTGGCTTAAGCCAGTGCTATAAGTCCTTTTGTTGTACCTTGCTTCTTGCACTAAGGAGAAAATTTTAGTGCTGGTTTCATTTACATACTGCTTAAAAGATATCTTGCAGATGGTTGCTTTTAGACAAATTAAAGCCTCAGGCTAGATTGTCATTACACTTTACAGGAATTACGTGTTCAGCTCTTAACAGCTGGTTTAACATCTGTTTTCCCACACACAACCAGTAAGAAAGCCCACCCAAGCAAATACCAGCTTTGCAACAGGAAAATGTTAGGCTGTCTTCACGATATTGCACCACCCCTTGACTTTTGAAGAACAAAGCTGAGTTAGGGCACTTTCTTTGAGGCACATCACTAAATGTTTACAAAGCAGTCACCAGCAGTAAAAGTTTGCTTAAACTGATAAGTATTTATGGTATTTCAGCTGCTCAGTCTTTCCCAACAGCATGCAGAGTATACACCAACTGCTTTATGAGCTGCTTATTCCCTCCTCTGTCATATAAATTCACTGTCACATCACTGTGGGTTTTGAAGGAACAAAAGTGCATCTCATTCCCTGGATGACGCCTGTACTGAGGGAACCTCATTTGCCAAAGAACCGCCCATGCCCTTCGTCACCAATGTTTTTTCTTCCACGCTTGAACTAACTCTAAAGGACCACTTTTTCATGCTGAAGGTTTCAACAACAAGGGCACTGGAACATAGCTATCTTCTTTTCCTTCCCTCCTCTCCTCTGCTGACTTTGTCTTTCCCTTTTTATAAGGGACCTTTTTGGATGCAGCACAGTGAAGGACAGGGTGGGCTTATCCTTTTGCCATAATGATTCCATTTTTTTCAGCCTTATTATTGTTTTCAACATAATCCCCTCTATACCTGTATCGCCCTTCCATCAACACTGCCTTCTATCCTTCCATTTCTGCATCTGGTCTCTGTCTTGTCTCTTCCTTCTCTGCTATTTCTGTTTGAATTTCTACATTTTTTCCTTCTGGTCTGTTTTAAATTCCTTTTCCTTTTCACTCTTTCTCTATTCTCTTGCCCACTCCACCTTGTCTTCTGCTTTCCCTGCCTCATTGCTGGCCCACTGCTCCAGCAACAGCTCTGCAATAAATTGTTTTAGATGTGGTAAGATTTTTCTTCAGCACATCTCAAGTTTATTTCAAAAACCAACAGCCCTGCAGCTGAGCTTTTTGAAAACCAAAATAGGTTAGAGCTTGTCAAAGCCTGCAGGAAAGGACTAGCTTGTTTGCTTATGTTAACAAGACTTTTTAAATGCTTAGAGGATGTTTCTGTCAAGAAACACCAGTCTGCTGGTATTCAGCAACACGTATTTCCACCCACCTGCACACAAACATCTCCATCGCCCACAGTATGTCTTCCCATCTCTTCTGTTGCTCGCTGTTTGACAGCTGTCCTTTCCAGCCTCTCCTGGCTCTGCTGCTGGACTACTCTTGTCCTCCTGCCCTGTCTGTTGTCTCCAGTGGTGAGGGTCCCCAGTCTGGGGCCACAGCAGCACCACCACTAATATCCTGGCAGCAGGCTGGGACCCTGCCCTGTGTGTTGGCCCTGGGGTCTGCAATGCTATCACTGCCAAGGGGCTCAAACCAGCCTCCCCATGCCACCCAGCCTTGAGACTCACAACACCCTGAGAGCAGCAAAACTTCTTTCAAGAGCAACACTCGTCCCTCCGCAATACACTTTTTCTCTCTGCTTTGGGGTGTGCACCTGTGGCTGCATCGCAGAGAGAGGGCAATGCCTGCTACCCCAGTATGGCTTACAGGTGGGGCAATAAAACACCCCTTGCAGACATGCTTGACTAAAACCATTAGGGAAGGGTAATAGAAATCCTCTGAAATGTGTTGTGCTCTGCTCTGGATGCCTGGGAAGACAGTGCAAGAAACAGAACAGGCAGAAATCGAGGCTTCCTTGTTATAACCTCTCACTGTCCAAAAATAAGAGATATAGGGACTTCCTGAGCCAATGATTGCATCTGCACCTATGAATCTACCCTCCGTGATATTTGTTTCTAGCTTTTTTCAGCCTATTTGTAATTTGGTATCCCCCATATCCAGTGACCATGAGCTTTACTATTTAATTATATATTGTGAAGAAAAGAAGAAAAATACATTCTTAAATCTTCTTAAATCTTCTGACTTAAATCGTCTTTCTGATAGTTTTATTTATTGTCACTACTTCCTCTTGTTATGAGGAATTTTGAATAACCAGTTCACCATTCACATCCATATTTTAATATAATAATAATAACAATAATAATAATAATAATAATAATAATAATAATAATAATAATAATAATAATAATAATAATAATAATAATAATAATATAACTATTTTAATAATTTTTTACTATTTCTTCTTTTTCACAAGCAGAAAAACATCCCAGTCTAATGAAGGCCTCCTCATACCTTTGATCAACTCTGTCACACTTTATGCCTTTCTCAGATTTAATGTCCTTTTTGAAATGGAAGGGCTAACAAAACTTCCAGTATTCAAGATATAAGCTTTCTGCGAATTTATATAAAGCCAGGTTCCACTGTATTTCCCTTACTGAAGACACTAAGCAGTTGAGTTTTCTCTTTTTCAGCAATTCACTCTCTTTCCAAGTTATCTACTCTTTTCTCCACTAGACATCTTCAGTGAAGTGATGCTTTGCATGGAATGCTTTCCACTCCTTTATTACTTACTTGGCATCATGACATTTTCTGGCAAATCTTCCTAGTTTCTTTTTGGATTTGGCTGCCCTAAGTAATTCTGCACCACCTGCAAAGTCTGCCACCTCACAGCTCAGTCCTCTTCACTAGGTTGTTTAAGAGCTTGTTGAATACCATACATCCCTGTGCAACTCCACTGGGAACACCACTCTGCTCAAAAAACACAACTCTTATTCCTGCATTGTGTTTCCTTTCACCAATTATGAAGCCATGACAATATCTTCCCCCTCATCCCACTGCACCTCCCTCCTTTCAGAGTCTGTTAAAATCCCAGATAGACTATAATAAAAAAAAGATATTAGCTTTGTCTCCGTTATCCAACTCAACACTTTATATTCACATTTTCTTTAAAGCTCTGCCACCAAGATACCTTTTATCTGAATTCACTTTGAAACTCAGACATGTGAAATGTAAATTGGAGGCAGACTAGCAAAATTATAATTTGCACATAGCTCTGGAAGCAAAATCAGCTGCTGATACTGAGTTCTTACAGATGCCCCCTCAAAAGCAGTCACAAATAGACAGGAGGAAGATGAATGCAAGGAGAGGAACAAAGAAGTGTGACATCCCTTCTCACTGGAAGCAAAAGAGGGCAGCCTCCCCATCTCCTCCCCTCCTCATCCACTGCTCACTCCTTCAAACTGAAGCCCACTCTAAGCCACCAGATCATTCAGGCTTGAAATGCAAACTTAACCATTTCAAAGAGTTTAAATAACCCCCTGCTGGGGCTGACCATTCAATCCAATACCACCAGTAACTGCCATTTACATTACTTTAAAATTAGTTCACACATTT